AAGACAACTAGAAGAATATATATATATATATATATATATATATATGGATAGATAGATAAGTGAGAGAAGGGGAACTTTAGTTTGGAAATTATTTGAGTATAAAATAGGGTATTGAAATATTTGTGTATTCTGGACTCTTCATAGTTGTTTCGTGGTGGTTTCTCAAATGCGAATGCTGTTTTGTCTGATATGTTTTTATGCTTTGTAAGGTGAGGGAGGTGAGAAGCCATCCCGCATGGAGCCTCTTCCTGATGGTTCCATGAACCCCATGAGGAGTGCCATCAAGCAAGTTGCTAGTGGGAGATTTGGTGTTTCTAGCTACTATCTCACGAATGCTGATGAGCTCCAGATTAAAATGGCTCAGGTACTACTAATCTGAAGCATGCCTTGTTGCATTCTGGTGGTCTCTTACTCTTCTTGCCTTCTTGCCATTGGAGTGACATCTTATTATCCAGCATTTTCGTTTCAAATTGATTACCATAAGATGCATGTTTGTATGATGGGTCTTTGCTTTGTATTATGGGACCATATCTCTCTTATTCTGATATGAGTTTCTGGCCTTGTAATATAGGGTGCCAAACCAGGTGAAGGAGGTGAGCTTCCTGGGCACAAGGTTGTCGGTGACATTGCAGTCACAAGGCATTCCACTGCTGGTGTTGGTCTCATTAGCCCACCTCCTCATCATGACATCTACTCCATTGAAGATCTTGCTCAATTGATCCATGATCTCAAGGTACATGACACTCATATTTGGGCTTCCCTCTCAATCTTAAGTGAAAAGTGCTTTATATTTTCCTTGTGTGGTTCTGGTGCTCCAATGCTGTAGAAAATGAGAAATACTTTATGGGTTTTCTATTTAAACCAGAAGTATTTTTGTTATTCTCTATTGTCCCATGTTTTTGTCAGTTATCAAGGTCCCTAGTAAAACATTTAAAACAACAAATACTTTCTTTTTGCTTGGTTTCTATATATATTGTTATGGATTTTCTGTGTCTCTATTTCTAAATGTTAAATACTTTTCTCTCCCAGAATTCAAACCCTGGGGCTCGGATCAGCGTCAAACTGGTCTCTGAAGCCGGTGTAGGTGTAATCGCAAGTGGCGTCGTGAAGGGTCATGCAGACCATGTCCTGATCTCAGGCCATGACGGTGGCACCGGGGCTGCTCGATGGACCGGTATAAAGAATGCAGGGCTGCCATGGGAGCTTGGCCTTGCTGAAACCCACCAAACCCTCGTTGCCAATGACCTTCGAGGCCGAACTGTTCTCCAGACTGATGGCCAGCTCAAGACTGGACGAGATGTGGCCATAGCTGCCCTTCTTGGTGCTGAAGAATTTGGGTTTAGCACTGCCCCCCTAATAACACTAGGATGCATCATGATGAGGAAATGCCATAAAAACACATGCCCAGTTGGCATTGCAACCCAGGACCCAGTTCTTAGGGAGAAGTTTGCAGGCGAGCCTGAGCATGTGATTAACTTCTTTTTCATGCTCGCTGAGGAGGTTAGAGAGATAATGTCAGAACTGGGGTTCAGAACCGTAAATGAAATGGTGGGGCAATCTGATATGCTCGAGGTTGATCAGGAAGTGGTTAAAAACAATGAGAAGCTTGAGAACATTGACCTCTCATTGCTTCTTCGACCAGCTGCTGATATCCGACCTGAGGCTGCTCAATACTGTGTGCAAAAGCAGGACCATGGCTTGGACATGTCATTGGACCAGGAGCTAATAGCTTTGGCCAAACCTGCTCTGGAGAAGGCCATGCCCGTGTATATGGAGATGCCCATTCGTAATGTGAACCGAGCTCTGGGGACCATGCTTAGCCATGAGGTTACAAAACGATATCAAATGGATGGACTTCCTTCTGATACAATCCATGTGAAGCTGACCGGAAGTGCAGGCCAGAGTCTCGGTGCCTTCCTCTGCCCTGGAATAACCCTAGAGCTTGAAGGTGATAGTAATGATTATGTTGGAAAAGGCCTATCAGGGGGGAAGATTATTGTTTACCCTCCTAAAGGGAGCCTGTTTGATCCTAAAGATAACATTGTTATTGGAAATGTTGCTCTTTATGGGGCTACAAAAGGGGAGGCTTATTTCAATGGGATGGCTGCTGAGAGATTTTGTGTTCGTAACTCTGGTGCTAGAGCAGTGGTGGAAGGAGTTGGGGATCATGGGTGTGAGTATATGACTGGTGGCATAGTTCTGGTTCTTGGGAAGACGGGGAGAAATTTTGCAGCTGGGATGAGTGGAGGTATTGCATATGTGCTGGACCTGGATGGGAAGTTCAATTCTAAGTGTAACCCTGAGTTGGTTGATCTTGACAAGGTTGAGGAAGAAGAAGATATTATGACTTTGAGAATGATGATACAACAGCACCAGAGGCACACCAATAGTGAAGTGGCAAAGGAGGTGCTTGCTAATTTTGAGGCCCTTATACCCAAGTTCGTGAAGGTGTTTCCAAGGGACTATAAGAGGGTTCTCGAGAACATGAAGGCAGAGCAAGCAGCAAAAGAAGCAGAGAGAGAGGCCGAGGAGCGTGAGGAAATGGAGTTGATGGAGAAGGATGCCTTCGAAGATCTTAAGAAGATGGCTGCAGCAGCAGCATCAAATGATAAGGTAGACATTCTTCTTGTTTGCTTCCTCATTCTATGTCCAACATGGATCCTGGGTATATTTGTCTTCTATTTTTAGTTGTGTTGGTTTAATACATTGTAATCTGTTGGTTATTTCTGCAATTTGCAGAAAGTTGAAGAGGCAGTGGCTTCAAACAGGCCTACACGAGTTGACAATGCAGTCAAGCACCGTGGTTTTATGGCTTATGAGCGTGAAAGCATCTCATACAGAGATCCCAAGGCTCGGGTAAATGACTGGGAAGAGGTTGCTGAAGAGGGAAAGCCAGGACCTAAATTGAAGACGCAATCTGCTCGATGCATGGACTGTGGGACTCCCTTCTGCCATCAGGTATTGCAATGAAAGGATGCTGCAGCTTGTGGCGAATGATAGAAAGCCTGTATTTTATTTTACAGAATGTGCTTTTAGTACTCCTTGGGAACTGTGTGATGTGACACTGAGAGGCAGAAGAAGAGGTAGATTGGAGAGGAAGAGGGGGGGAGGGAGGAGAGGTAATGTGAGAGGAAGTGAGCCTTTGCGTTTTTGGGCACATTAGAAAGATAGTGAGGAAAAACAGGAGGGGGCGAGAGATTCAGGGATTCGCCCTGGGTGTGAGGGAGAGACCTGGGAGAGAGAGATTCAAGGATTTTCCTTCTTGTTTTTTGGGTCTGCTAGAAAAAATGTCAATATTCAATGCTTCTAATGGTCCTGTTACTCAAAATTTTCTCTCTTCACTAGTCCTCTGTATTTCTTTTTTTTGGTCATTGGTAAATGTCTATATTGCTTTGTTTTTCATTTTTCCTTGTAACCGTTGCTTTTCTTGTACAGGAAAACAGTGGCTGCCCTCTTGGGAACAAAATTCCTGAGTTCAATGAACTGGTATACCAAAATCGATGGAGGGAAGCATTGGATAGACTTTTGGAGACGAATAACTTCCCAGAGTTCACCGGGCGAGTATGCCCTGCTCCTTGCGAGGGCTCATGCGTGCTTGGCATAATTGAGAACCCGGTGTCTATTAAAAGCATCGAGTGTGCCATTATTGACAAAGCCTTTGAAGAAGGTTGGATGGTGCCTCGGCCTCCCCACAAGAGAACTGGGTAAGTTCTCTTTCCATTGCTGATCTTTTAGTTTTTCTCTCTTTTTTATTTGTTTGAAGGATGGACACTTTCTGTTCATTCTATTCAATTTCCGTATCTTACAATCAAATCCAGAAGTTTCTTGGTCCTTGTAAATGATTGAAAATCTCTTCTGGGTTACCTCTCTTTGTTGGATGTTCCCTCCATTCAAGACCGTCAGAAACTTCCAAGTCAATTACTTTCTCACCAATGATTGAAATTCTTTTCTTAGTTACTTTCTCTTTGTTGTTTGTTCCTTTCTATTCATAAAACGATCGAAGCTTTTTATTTAATTAACTTGTCTCACCAATCAATGCAAGGTTCTTAAAATGATTGCAATCTTTTCGTGCGATACAATAACATGATTTCGAGTATTAAAAAGGTACATCACAATTGAATTTTCAATTTTCATATCAGTTAACTCCTCTCTCTCCTAGTTTTTGGCTTTAGAAACTCGTGATACCAAAACTGAAGTACTTAGAACGATGCACAGCATCTTTGAATGGCCATGATAATCTTGATTCTTTTGAATTAGATTGCCTCTCCCTACCACTCTTCTAAAGCAAATTCAATTTCCCGAATTTCTGGATATTACCAATTACACTTGGGATGGTCAATACTGGAGTGAAAATGATAAGAAAAACGTTGGCATCAAACGAACTCCCAGTCCTTGCAATTTACTGAACTCATGATTTCCAGAAGCGCTGTGTATGTGCGCGCTCGCATATATTGTACTCAATGCCTTCACCCTTACTACGGATGCAGGAAAAGAGTTGCTATTGTGGGTAGTGGTCCAGCCGGCTTGGCTGCAGCCGATCAGCTGAATAAGATGGGCCATCTGGTGACAGTGTACGAACGTGCTGACCGTATTGGTGGGCTAATGATGTATGGAGTCCCAAACATGAAGGCTGACAAGACCCACATTGTGCAGCGCCGTGTTAACCTCATGGGTCAGGAAGGTGTTAACTTTGTGGTGAATGCAAATGTTGGAACTGACCCAACTTACTCCCTCGAGAGGCTTCGCAGTGAAAACAATGCCCTTATCCTCGCCTGTGGTGCTACAAAGCCAAGGTATTCCCCCCCCACCCCCCTCTTAAATTTTGGAAAATTAGGCTTACTTTTATGTGTGTGTATGAGTGAGAGAGAGAGAGAGAGAGAGAGAGAGAGTACACAATTTATATGCATTTTAGATTACTGTGGTGCACTTTGCCTTTTATGATTTTGAACACATGCAGCCTTCTGAGTACTCCATTTTTCCATCTTGAAAGTGGGTTGTTGATGATCTTGACATGGCCTGGAGTTGGAAATATGTTCCATTTTTTTTTATTGAAGCACGTTTGTTTTCTTTCCATGATAACAGGGATCTTCCAGTTCCTGGGAGGGAGCTCTCAGGCGTTCATTTTGCCATGGAGTTCCTTCATGCAAACACCAAGAGCTTGCTTGATAGCAATTTGCAGGATGGTCAATACATTTCTGCAAAGGGAAAGAAGGTTGTGGTCATAGGAGGCGGTGATACTGGTACTGATTGTATAGGGACCTCAATCCGCCATGGCTGCACAGAGATGGTGAATCTGGAACTTCTTCCAGAACCACCACAAACCAGAGCTCCATCCAATCCATGGCCTCAGGTTTGTTACCTTCATAATTTCTGCTGTGTGTGTGTGTGTGTGTGTGTGTGAGAGAGAGAGAGAGAGAGAGAGAGAGAGAGAGATTCTGACCACTTTGTTTCCATTCTGGGAAGAGTTTGGGTGAGGATTCATACTTCTTGATGTCGTCGTCTCCTTTATGCAGTGGCCCCGCATATTTAGGGTAGATTATGGGCACCAAGAAGCAATCACCAAGTTTGGGAAAGACCCCAGATCATATGAGGTGCTTACTAAGCGATTCATAGGTGACGATAATGGTAATGTGAAGGGCCTCGAAGTGGTGAGAGTGAAATGGGCAAAGGATGCCTCGGGCAAATTCAATTTCCAAGAAGTTGAGGGCTCTGAAGAGGTTATCGCAGCAGACCTCGTCTTCTTGGCCATGGGATTCCTTGGACCTGAATCGGTTAGTTACTCTTGTTCACTGATCTCTGACTCATATCTTTTACTTATTTTCAGGTTACTAAACCTCTGAACCCTATAACACAGTAACTTGAAGTTAAAGCCCTAAAATAGACTTCTGTAGATTCAGTCTCTTGGGTTATTAGTGGTTTGGAGTCGAGAAAAGCAACACTGCAATATTTGGTTGGTTTCAGATCCTGGCTTGCCTTAGCCCAAGGAAAAATAAAATGTCTTTTGACCCTCCATTCCTGAACTTAAAATGGATTTTGGCATTTCGGCTAACTGGTTTGGGTCCTGCTTGCCCATGCTTGCAAAGAAAGGCCGTAAAAAGGCTGTAACTTGGTGCTGGTACTGGCTATGCAGTGTCCCGGTAGGGGTGAGCTGGAAACGGTCATAGCTTTTTTTTATGCACAAAGTGGCTGCTCTCAGGATTTGAACCAGTGTTCTTGCGCTAGCTACCCGAGCCTTTACCCGTCACACAAGTGATTGGCTCCTAGATAGTGTATGCCCCTGCAAAGAAAGAGACCTTAGATAGTGTAAGCCCCACCATCCCCAAAGCACAACCCGTTGGCAAATTGGTGCTTGCAAAAGTTTACCTGTAATCACTTGATCACATTACAACATTTTATTGGACGGTCATGATCACCAATGGTCATGGCTTACCATAGTCAAGAGCATAATACATTGGGTATTGTTACATTCCCTCTAATGTTTATGCTTAGGGTAATCACACAAATGCATGCAAATAGAGCTATACAAAGGTTGTATGGACCATACTTCCCCGTGTGTTATTAATCAAGGGTGTTTTGTGTTTGTATATATTGTTAACAGACGGTGGCTGAGGGTCTAGGGGTGGAGAGAGATGGTCGGTCCAACTTCAAGGCAGAGTATGGTCACTTCTCGACCAGTGTGGAGGGGGTGTTTGCAGCTGGGGACTGCAGGCGGGGCCAGTCACTGGTTGTGTGGGCTATCAATGAGGGTCGCCAAGCTGCAGCCCAAGTGGACAAATTCCTTGTGAAGAAGGAAGAGGCTCAAGCTACCTCCACACGCTCTTCTGCAAAGAAGCTGCAACAACAGCAAGACAAGCATACTGTTATGACCTAACAAAAAAGAAACACTGCAGAATGATATTGTACTGGCATTGAGGACTCAGTCGCGCGCTCTCATTATTCCACCTCTGTCCATTACTTGTTGGACAAGTGGCTCTCTAGACATGTGTCAGCCATCTAATGGCTGCTGTTTGAGGGGTGGCACTGGGTCGGTTGGATCCAGTGGCTTCGGAGTGGTCTCATGGTTTTACCGAGCTCTCGCTCGTCATTGGGTTTTGTTGTGACGGAGGAGCTTTCCTTGGTTTGGATGGTGGTGGTGTCTATGTTTTTCTGTTTGGTTTTCTTTGTAGCATTTGTTTACTGTCCTGTTGGTTTATGGATTTTGGGTTTATATTGCTATTTAAGGTGCAATAATGCAATAATGTACAGTTTGGGATTTTTTGGGTTGAGAGTGATTGATAATAGATATAATTTATGGCCTCAATGAGAAGCCTTGTCATGAAAAACTCGGTTCGTATACAATTATAAATTGTACAGTAAAATTGAATTTGGGGCTTTCCACATCGCTAAACGGTATTCCAAAGAATTGTCCCTTTTATTGGATACTCTGCTTCCCTCTTTCTCTCTCGTCTCTCTCTCAGGGTGGCAACAGGCTTGACTTAGGCCGGGATAGCCCTAGCCTTGGCTGTGGCTCGGCCCTTGTCCTCATAGGCCTAGCCCAGGCCCAGCTTGGTTCGATAGCCCCAAGGAAAGTAACAGAAAAAACAAGTGAAAAAAGAGTGTCGGGCAGGGCCTATTTGTATTTATACATAGAGAAAAATAGGGGGTTTTTAGTTCTACATTAGAAAATGGAAAAAAATTAAATCTTTTCCATATTATCTTAAAAAATATAGGAATTTTTTATTTTTTTCTTGAAATCAATAGGAGAAAAGGCTCAGGCTCATGTAAGTCATGTTGAGCGTGCGAAGCAAAAGTTTTAACAATACAACCCCGCCATATTTAACAATTCAACCCCGCCATATCACATAAAGGGTATGACCATTTTGCCCTTATGTCCATGTCTGCCGAGAAAAAGTTCAAACCCGCATGACTAGAAAACACTATAAATAGCAGCTGATCAGCTCCCATTCATTCTCATACGATCCATTTCTCAGCTTTTAGAGAGAGAGAGAGGGAGAAAGAGGGGGGTGAAAGCCATGGGAAGGGGAACAATGGCGAAATCGATGAAGAGAGATGCTCTGAAATCATCTTGCCGCTCTCCTCAATGTCCCTCACAGTCTCGATTCATCTGGTAGCCAATCCTTTTATTCTCTGCTCAGTCTCTAAATTCTGATCAGTTTTAGAGTTTCACTTTCAAATTTCAAATTCGTTCAATTTTTTTATCCATTTTCTGATTGTGATTGAAGTCTCTCAGGTACTACTATCGTTTTGCCTCAGCAATTTCAAATCTGTTTAATGCATTTTGAATGTTTCAGTGACCAAAATCTTTCAGTTACTGGTTCAAATTTTGTAATTTCATATTTCATATGTTTCAAATCCGTTTGAGCTATAATCCATTTCAAATAATTTCAATGACGAATTCTTTCAAATTTCAATTAATAGTTGTAACTTCATTTGGTTTCAACTTTCAAGTCTCTCCGAGCTATCATCAACTTCAAATGTTCTCTAGGAATGGAATCTTGCAGTTAAGTTTTGCATCTTGAATACTTTCAATGCTTGAATTATTGAAATCTCTCTTACTGATGTAGGCCTGATAAGATGCAAATCTTCTTCTATTGATATGTCTGAAGCATAATCAGTTACATGTTTGACCTAGATACGAAGTCCCTTGAATTTTCCCCTTTTATGGATCCATTTTTTGCATCTCGCTGCTATTTATGAGGATTTAAACTGTATAAAGCGAGCATTAGTCATAGGAGTCTAGTATTAAGTTGTTTGTATTTTTATTTGCCAACTTTAGTAGATCTTCTGTTTTCTCTGTTTAATCAGTTCTCGTTTCCTATTTCGTAGAGTGGGAAGTTCTGTGAAGCTCTGGGCTAATTAATTATATCTGAAAGTTCAATCAAAATCATTTGATTTCTTACAAAATTTCAGATTCATGTTTCAGTTAAGTAAAATATTTGAACAATTAAAGTTTCTGGACTGATTTCACCTTTCAGTGATCGTTATCAATGAAAACTGTGAATTATCAGTTCGTTAAACCTCTGGTTTCATTAAGTTAGCAGTTTACGTGAATTCATTTTAAGTTCCAAGTTTACGGCTTCCGAGAATGTGGAATCGCTATTTGTCTTTCTGTTTCCCGAAATCTTCCATTTTGATTTCTTAAACGAAACAGATCAAACTAATTGGAAGGAATGATACTGTTAAAATGACTAAAATGGCCCTAAATCTTTTGGAAATATAGAAGAGCTGTTTTTCTGTGAAAAAAAAGAAAGAAAAGAAACCAAAAAGTAAAGAAATAGATTCTTGTGGTTTATGTGAATGAACTATTTCAGAATGTTTTGAGTATAACAGAACTTTTCTTGTCATTTCATACGCGCCCTCTCTCTCTCTAAATCGATTCATATGGATGCTTGAGAGTTGAGAGTAAAACAGCCCTCTCTCTCTGTCTGTCTAAATCGGTTCATACAACTCATATGAGGAATAGGTTTAATCTCGGGCACCCTTTTTGCAGTTAATAGCAATTGTAAATCACCATAGAGGCTCAAACCAAAATCTTTTTGAACGGGAAATGTAAGGTATTTAGGAACTGATGATGATACGTGTTTACAAAACAGTTTTGAGGAGGACATATGGACAGAGATCGCCAAGTTCATGGATGGCAAATGTCTGGTGAAAATGGGTCTCGCCAATCGGTGGTTTCAGCGCCTATTGGCCGAAGAGAGTGTCTGGAGATTCGCTTGCCTGAGAGACCTCTCCCTCCCGTCCTCTCCCCATGTTTCCTTCTGTTGGCGCCACTTATACAAGGCGGCTTTTGGCGAGTCCTCTCTATCCTCTTTCTCTCTCTAAATACTATTACTACACATCCCCATCCCCTGTTCTTCCCTCCCCCCGGGGCCCCAATCGCTCGTTGACAGTACACTTACTGATTTCAAAAAATCTCAGTCAGAGGATTACTTTATTAATTTTTCATATATTGTTGCTGGTTTTGTTGTAGCAGATGGTTCACACTCGTACAACTTCAGGCAAACCGAGAAACATATTGGTGCGTTTCTTCTAGTCCTAACATTGACTCCTAAATATGGAACCTAGTGATTCAATCCTTTAAATGGACGGTTATATTTTTATGGTGGCTAATGTTCTAACCAGAATAACAGTAAACTCTTCATGCTCCAACTTCCAATTGCTTATGTCCATAAACAGAGTTTTGCATAATGCCAATAAGCTCTCTCTCTCTGTCTCTTCCAGATTGGATGAGAATTGGAGCGTTTTCTTTTGAGTCCACTGTAGCCCTTGTGACTGAAAACCTGTGCGTGCCTGAAATAATTCTGAAGAAAAAATCCATCGCTGGGAATTTAGTGCAAGAGACAGGGGCGTGCATTTTGGACAATGTCAAACCAGGAATATGGATTGCCGGTGAAATACCTAATCATAAGAACTTCTACCTCATTGTTCTTCCCCTTTTTGACCCCCATCTCTCTTTCTCTCTCTAACACACGGGATTGGGGAATGTCAGATCTCCAGTTGGTACGCTGCCCTGTCTGCAATCTCAACAGTTGCGAAGGTGAATCACCAAAACCATTTTTCGAAAACTTCATGTATGATGTTTCAATATCACCTACTTTCTCACGCCAATAAGCTTCTCTATTCTTCTTTCTAGCCACGGTCTCTGAGTCGTCTCCCATTCATCTCTCTTTCTACCACTCTTATCTCTCCCTCTCTGAATTCCTCTGTTCTGTCTTTTATTTCTGTCTCTGTCTCACTTTCTCTCTCTTGCAAATGTGTGTTTTTTAGGCACGATGCAAATACTAGATGTGAGGCACTTGGAGCTATTCCTATGTGAGGGATTCAAAAACGGCGAGTGGGAATACCAAGAACTTGGGTCCCACCGCATTGAGAAGAACTGCAACGGCGCAACAGGGGGCATTTTCGACATGAAGCGCATTAAAAGCCCCTCCACATCTGGTAAATATCTATGGGTCATTCAAGAAAAAATGGGAAAGGGAAAGTTGCCGTGGGGGTACTTTTGATTTTATTTCCGATTAATTGACAATTAAGCTTGGCCATTTTTTTTCCAGAGATCACGGACATGAAGGCATGGATGGGTCAAGCCAACGATTGGCAGCCAAAGGCCAGGATTACTCACCATGCTGTTGCTGTTAACACAAATCTCCAGCAAAATGAAGGTCATAAGAATCATGTCAAAAATGCCCTTTTTAAAGACCATTTGGTTCTTGCTTCCTATAAAATGAGAAGTAACCTTACCACAACAGACTTAAATAAGAGTCCGAAGTATGAACCGAACGCCAAGGCACCCACTTGGGTATTGGGCATTGCTTATTCCTCTCTTTTCCTTTCTAAATTTGTGGACGGTTCATTTACGTGTAAAATGTACTTGTAGCGTTCAAACTTAGGACCTTTTAATTTAGAATTAAATTAGTTTAATTATCAGAGAGAAAAATGATGTGGTTTTTACTAATTTTTCTACCAAATTAAAACGGGAGGAGAGAAAACACAGGATAAAATACTAATTTTTGTTGAAATCTTCAGGTCTGCATGTAAGGTACCACATGATGAAGGGCGGAACAAATGGTCCCATTGTCTCCATCAGAATTTCACAGCAACTCATTTGAGTTTCCTTCCTACTCTCCCGTTTTGTATTTTTTTTGGTGATGATTCTCGATTCATTTTTTTCTTACAAATAAACATACATTGGTTCGTGGTCTCACAATTGGGTAATACCCATTAACCTGTGGATTCTATACATAAAAATAACTACTTCCACTTCTTGTATCTTTGGACTCTCTCTCGCATTGCATTGCTTGATTCTAAATGAAAATGACTTCCTAGAAACAGTTCATTCCCTAATTCAATACGACAATTCAATTAACTTGAAAAATGTTGTATAGAGACTTAAGATATGCAAATGCAATGAGAGGATGGAGGATTGGACCTCTTCTTACCTTGAAAAATAGTTATCGATACTCTGCTATAACTTCCTTTTTTGATGTTCCTTTTATTATGGGAGTGCATATACAATTGTATACCCTATACCATAAGACCACTCACATTTGGTACTCGTATAGTTCAATTTCTTCAGGGAAGCAAAAAATTGCGGATATTTTGTCTAAGGCCTCACCACCATTAGATTCTTGTCTCTTCAATCAGCTTGATGGGGAGTGCAAGAGACAAGGAAAAACACACGTGAAAGATCATTATTCTAATGATAACCATCTATATAACCTTTTCTATATAAAGATAACTCTCACGTCCATATTGGCATCCCGATTACATATTGATATTTTCAATGGCTTCTATGCAGTGTTTGGGTTTGCTAGAAAAGATGAGAAGAGACGCAATTAACTAGTTGCTATAAACAACATTTAGAATCGAAAGCATCAGCCGAGAACACTGAGAGAGAGAGTCGCACAGTGAGGGCAGGATAAAGAGAGAGGCTCTGAGTAAGAGCGAAGGGACTAATGATTAGGGCTAGCGTAAGCAGGTAGAGAGATAAATACCCAATAGTGGGAAGGGTATAGGGAAACAGACATAGGGGCTAATGCAGGGGGTATGTTTAATAGCACCTTAATATATATTAGAATAATAAATAATTCAAATATATGAAAAAACTGGGCAATATCTTTATTCAGATTTTTAAAAAATTAAATATTCAAATTCTGTTTTGTCAAACAAACCCTAAAGGATACGGTTTCTCTGATTCCATAGACTCACATGTAGAAATACGGGCCCCTGAATAATCTATTTTTTAAATAGAATTTGATCCTAATGTTTAAGGAATATGTAATTTTTAACATGGAGATTATTAATCTATAAAAATAAATAAATTTTAAAAACTAGAGATGATATTTTTTGGAGAAAATCTTTGAACTGTTGGTTTTACTTTTTCTTTGGAGGACTATCATTTACGGGACTTGGTTTTGGTGGATGGTGTAAATCTCCATGCCCGCATAATAACAGGTGTGGGCTTGGATGCACCAAACAATTTTTCTTTTTTAAATTAAGAGGGGCTCCCTAAGGTTTACATGGATTCAAAGAGTCTATTAGGTCCTTATTATGGAGATGGGGATGGTGTCCTTTTCCGTTGCTTTTAAAATGCCAAAACAAATTCTTTCAATGCACTTCTAAGAAAATACCCTATAAATTACATTAGATAGGAAGCCACTACATAGTGCTTATGGAGAAAATGAACAGTGTTTTCATCCATGGGCTCAGCGCCGTCCAATTTTTTGGATGGTGTGGATAAATCGACCGCACCGGACATGCTATATACATTGCGATTTTCAGACAACTATTCATTTTCGCCCTATAGCATTTTTAAGACTTTTCCTATAAAAAAAATAGAATTCTCTAAAAAAGTAAAACCCTCTCTCTTCAATGCTATGGCATCGTGGCGTATATATTCCAAGAAAAATCTAAAAGGACGTAAAAATTAAAGAAATTTGAACATCAACTATGCATTTTTCCATCTTTTAAATAGTAAGAATACTTTTCTAAGGTTTCACAACATTGAAGGCAGAGAGTCTTTATTATTTCAGGGATTTTCTTTTTATGCGAGTTATTTATAAAACTGCTATAATTTGGGAGTAGGACAAAAATTTTCCAAAGCTTAATAAGCTCATTGATAACTTGAGCAATTCACATTTGAGGATATACTCTTGTTCACTAGAGGCTTTGTCCCTTTAGAAATACGAGAACACATAGGTAAGCCAGACTTAAGTTTACCATTTCGGTTGCCGTTTGTAATTAGGCCATAGTAAGTGTTACTTAGTCATGTTGTCTCTTGGGCCTTATACACCCTAAATTATTATTTTTATAATATCACTTAATTTTATTGAGACTATATAATAGTTACAAGAATATAACAACACCAGACTTCTCGATACTTCCAGCTTACGCTACGTAATCCCATACGTTGTTGCCACCACAACCTACCTGAATAATTGTTTCTCATTTTGCATTGACCTCCACTACCACTTTGCTAACGGAGCTTGATTCACAATCTTTACTTTCTTTATTCCCAAACAACCTTCCTTCTTAAGAGCATGAATTCTCTCCTAATGGATCAAATGATATACCTTTTTCCATTATCATATGAACCCCCATAGAAATTTCATCATCATATGTCCTATGTTTCTGACAATTGCCCAAGGCTGCCTGTGAGCCCTTCACAGTTGAGGTGTTTTACTATTCAGGTGATAATGATTATTTTCAGAGGGCACTTCAGAGGTCGAGTGCCCAATCTTTTACTTGTGGTTCGTTGTTGTTAGCTGATTAGGGCTGCTCCTCTTTTGTTCCATGATAATTTTATCCTGGAATGTTAGAGGACTTGGTAGTGCTAAACGTAAGCAGTAACTAAAACTTATGGTTAATAAGTTTAGACTTGATATTATTTTGTTACAAGAAACTAAAATGTTTGGTCCTACTATTAATACTATTAGAAAATTTTGGGGGTTGAAACCTGTTATGTTTTGTGGGGTAGATGCTGTGGGTTTTCAGGGTGGCCTTAGGGCAATTTGGCCCATCAAAAATGCTTTGTTCTCAAACAATCATCAATGATCGGTTGTTGGGAATGGTTTTTGAGGGTCATTTTTCTCATTTTCGTTGGTTGCTTATGAATGTATATGGGCTGAATACTCATGCTCTTAAACATGTGTTTCTTAATAATTTAACTTCATGTTTGAAGGATGTTTGCTTGTCTGCTTGCTTGGAGGGTGGGGGGGGTGGAATTTCAATTTCATCTATAATTCTGATGAAACTTCTTCAGATGTATCTTATAATGGTGGGATGGGATTATTTAATAACTTTGTCATGACAAATGGACTAATGGAGCTCCCGGTGTCTAGTGTTCAGTATACTTAGTCTAATATTAGCCTGGTTAATTTGGTTATGAGCAAATTAGACAAGCTTTTAGTCTCGACGGATTGGGAAAGCCAATTTCCCTTGGCTTCAATTTTTTCTATGGAGAAATTATCCTCAGACACAAACACAAACACACACACAAACACTGCCAAGCTGAATAATGTGAACACGCCCATTTGTTCCGAGCAGTAATTTCAGGACGGACTAAGACATGTTGGTCTAATTGGTCACACCATTGACCTCTCTATTATTTGATCTGGTCTCGAGCAAAAATTAAGTAAAGTTAAAAATTAAGCAAATCATTATTTGAGCAGTTTTGGCCCATCTTTCTGGCCGTTTTTAACATACTGGACCGACTACCCAGGGTTTAGCCCCTTCTTTTCTTTAATATATTATAGTTTTTGTTATTGCTCCTGAGTTTTTTGCTTACTAAAAAAGACCATCTAACACATTCGATTAACATTGAGACCAGTTTAGGCTAGACCAAACCCCTAATGAATTCGCTGGCCAATCCGGTTCCAATAAAATTGACAACCCATAACACTACCACTTTCGGTCTTTTTTATCTTTTTTGAAGGGTTAACGGTCGAAATGGAGCACCTCTAGTTTTCAAACTTAATCAACGAAATAAATCTACCACCTCAATGAGCTTTAGAGCTGTTTTGACTAATTTTATATTATTTTCCGTTTTTTTGGACAACTTCATACAATGTCAGGACCACTGTCAACTATGTTATATTTACAATCGGCTTTGTCAAGTGCTGATGTTGTGAAATATACTTTAGGGGCCGCGTATATGCTACTGGTGCTGCAATTAACATGTTTTTATTGCACATAAGAAAAAAGGACTGTATAATGAGATCATTTACTTTTGGTACAAAGAGATCATAATTATTTATAACCGTCTAATATAAAATTTGATAGCTTGGATGTATTGATAAAATTTCTTTTGAACTTTGAACTTGATCAATGGAATAAATACACCCATTCAATTTCACATTCAATGATCAAGATTAATTGTGACTACCTTGTACCAAAGACAAATAATCTTATTATATACTTTTCTTAAAAAAAAATCATAAAAAAAACGTGTATGATTTACTTTTCTTTTCGTTGCCTTTAAATTTTTCAAAGATTCTCCTAAGGTCAACCCTTGACAAGGGTTTACCCTATGTTAACTTCATGGCCATTGGGTTACTGGGTAGAAAAAGGCTCCTCACAGGAATCATATACTATTGACAATCTTGAGAGAGAGATTCAAAAGATGAAACTATTGCTATGTGATTATATAAATCAGAAGTCTTAGCATAATTGACACTCACAAATATTATAGAAGGAAAAAAATTGTATAAACTCTATGGTCATAGTTAGAACGATAATTATGTAGTTTATTAACATGCAATCAATGGGTTTGCGACATTCTTTTCAAGCTTTTTATTTTTTTTTAAATTGAATTGCTTGCTTTTTACTTATTAAAAAGAGCATTAAACCAACATTAAACTAAGAGGGATTTCTTAAGTGATATAAATTGGATTTTTTGAAGTGTTATTCCAAATTTTAGCCCTCTTGCGAAAATACATATGGCATAGATAGTTTTAGAAGTGAGATAAATTTGGAAATTATATTATAAAAGATTCTCAAATTTTAAGATACAATCATAGTAACTATTAGATAAGGAATAGTATACAATGAAATCATTTACCTTTGATACAAGATGGTCACAGTTAACTTTGACCATTGGATGTGAAATTAGATGGTTACATTTATTACATTGATCAAGCTCAAACTTTAAAGAAATTTTTTTGAACTTTGGGATACACCTAAACTATCAAATTTCACATTAGATGGTTGTACATAATTGTGACTACCTTGTATAAAAAAGTAAATGGTGTTATTGTATACAATCCTATGAATAAACACCAAGGCAAAAGATAGTGTTCTTTTATTTAATCTCTTATGGGATTGTCTAATAAAAAGCACAAAAATAAAAATATTCCTTTACGACGTGCCTGGCATTACATGCTTCCATGAATGGCAATTAGAACATGCATACTGTGCATACTTATGATATAAACCTCTCTTATCCTATCCATTGGTCAATCAATCATTGGTGCATCATTAAGTGCCATGTTAAAGGCTTTGCCACCCAACAATCCCTATATACAAGGACCCCACCTCTCCTTTTTCATTTTTCTTCTTTCTCTTTTATTTATTTATTTATTTATTTATTATTATTATTATTATTATTATTAATAATGACAATGTACTATGCCTCTCTCTCTCACAGAGTTCCATTTAGAAATTTGGGCACTTCGCTCTCACCTTTCAACGACCCCCACGAGTGGCAATCGGTCGGGTTGACAACCCCAGATCCAAACCCAATCTAGGTTCAAAAATATATATTTCAAATATATACATATACATATCATGCGTATATTGGCAAATTTATCAAAATATTATTTATTTTAAAAAATATTTTATATATGGGTATTTGATATCATACTCATATTCTGGCCCCTTTTTCTCTTTCTGACAAATGTTATATGCTTGTATTGAAAAGATGCTTAAAAAGCATGAGATTACAATATTGAAATCAAAACGTTGGAAATAAGCATAGAAGGAAGATAAACTCCATGCTTATCAAAGCCATCAGCAGCATCATTAGCCACTGAGTAGGTATGGCGGAAGGAAGTCCACAAATTTAGTATAGCACAAAGATCAAGAATTTTAATCCAAAAGATATGTAAGGACTAAAGACTCATTTGCTCTTGCCTGCACCATTTAATAACATTCAAGTAATCACCTTCCATAAGAATATCCCTAGTAAAGCCCTTATCAATAATAATTTGCAAGTTGTAAAAGGGCGGGCATTTCAGCTTGATTGGCCGTCGTAGAGTCACATGGACCAGAATAAGAGAAAATGACCAATCTTTCATTGTCACGAAGAAGACCACCAACACTTCCGGGCCCCAAATTATCTACAGTGCTACCATCAAAGTTAAGTTTGAGGCAACCTTCCGGAGGTCACATCCAGATCCAATGGGGATAGCCGAAGTAGGAAAAAGAATTTGCAAGATTTATAGATTGACATAAATATCAAGGGCAAGCTTTCTATGACTCCCCTACAACATAAAACTTATATGCTTCCCCATATCCAACCGTCCATTCTGAATGGAGGGCTAAGATTGCCTCAATTACAATGTCACGTCTCTACACTGCTTTATTTTTAAAAAAATTCTATAAACTATTTTGACATCAAAATTTGGACATCCATTCCTATATTAAACTTGCACTAGCGAAAAATATAAAAAAAAAAATTTCAATAAAATAAAATGATAAAAATACCGCTGAAAATTTTAAGAGGTATTTTGGTCATTATATTTTATCAAAAAATTATTTGATAGGTGCGCCCCAATGAGAATATGGCACGTATCAAATTTCATGTTCATACAATTTGTATAAAAACAACTAAAAATAAAATACTTTGAAACGTCGGATCTAATATCAAACGATGAGTGACTCTCTTGATCAAAATTGGACGGCTGGATAGTAGGGAGGAGATAGAACTTCCATGCTGTAGGGGAAGTATAGAAACCTTTCCCAAATATCAATCCAAAAAACTCCCCGACCTTCAGGTGTGGAAGAGAACCAATTCTAAAAGGATTGCAAAACTTGGACCCTTATCCAATCTGGTCTAACTCAAGTCTAGGACCATGGGGTCCAAAACATGGACCCAGACCCGGACCAGGTCAACCCACCGGATGGACGCTCGGCCGGGGCATTCCAGAATTCTGAACCACCCTTTTGGGTCCAAAGGGACAATTAACTCTTCAGAATGCCTATTGGCCCTTGGTCCAAAGGACGTTGAAGTGCACAATATGGAGTTGCCTCCCCCAGTTGGTGCCCCGCCCCACGTAGGTTTTTTTTTTTTAACGATACCACGTAGGCATTTGAAGCAGTTTGAAGTTCCACTTCCCACCGTTTAACCAGGTCACATTACAAATAAAAATTACCTCAAAGGACTAACATCTCACGATAAATTTTTGAAAAATTTGGACCTTTTTAATTCCATAAAATCAGTCCCTATGTAAATTTCTCTAAAATTTTTTTAGAAATTATATACAATATCTCTTAAATTTTTACAATTTTGAAACTTATTGTCTTCAAATTAAAACCATACCCAAATTTTCTCTCGTTTTTGTAACACCAAAAAAATGATCTTCACAGACAAATGGCTATAAAACCATATGAACCTATTGAGTTCGTAGTAGCCCCAAGCATTGATGCTTTACCAGCCTGCTTGCTTAGCCTAAAAATCTATTTCTCCCCTATTTAGGAAACCTAAAATTCCAAAATTGTTGTAGATCAACTTGAAAATTTTGAAGATACATGGTCAAGATAATGTGGTACAACATGTATTATTTTAAGACTTGAAATCTTTTTTTTTACACCATGCATCATGAGCTCAACATAATCCATTGTGTGGTTTTTCGATATTGAAACAACATTAATAGATGGATTTTTGAGGTGCACATTACTTTTATAGTATAGGATTGACACCTTATATAAATTTTTTTTTTAAAAAAAATGGTAAGACAATTGAAAACCTGAAGGACAGAACCAAGTTGCATTAAAGAACAAGTGTGGAAGATATCTATTTGTGGAAGATATGTATTTTCCCGGGATATGCTTTGGATACACTTGTGTCCCAAGTATATTCGAGGAAAATATATACCTTTTAAAAAAGGAAAAAGTTTAAGTAAGGTTGCACCCTTATATATACAACTACGGATGCACTTCATAAATCCATCTGAAAAGGTAGTTTTAATGTTGAAAAACCCTTTGATTGATCATCTCGACATCGAGATGTATGAACATAAAAAATAAAAAAAATTTAAGCCTTAGAAATAGTGCATTTTACAACATATTATCTACACGGTCCATTTTCAAGATTTTCATATGTTTATAGATCTACTTGATTTTAACCATTTTTAAGTTTTTAAATTTTATAATTAGATATAAAAATAGATTTTGAGATAATCTTAAGAACATTTTACATCAAAATTATATACCATGAAAAAATTTGAAGTGCACCTTACCTCTACAGCTACAGATGCATCCATACAGATGCATCCATATGCTACCTGAACCCTTTTAAGAAAAAAACAAGTCTGTCCAAAGTGTGTCCTTCGGCAAATAGATATCTTCCACAAATACTTTCAGAATTTAAAAACCAAGGCGTAGGGCACTCACAGACCTAATAGGAACGTAAAGGTCTCAGGCATGTCTCTAGGTCCGTAAAGCCACAAAGGTCCCTTGGGGCCTTTACGACTCTAATAGCTCCGTAAAGGCTCGACGGACCTATTCGTATGTGAAGATCATTTTGGATATAAAAAAAATAAATAGAGAGAATAGGTATGAGCCTTAAATTAAAAAGGGAAATTTTAGTATGGATCGGTTTTTTTTTACTGTTATAACAATATAGCCCACAAATAGCCAATATGGAAGGATGCATCTATGGATTTTTTTTTTTTTTTGGTCACACTGGCCCTCGGACAGATTTATTTACACTCAAAAACTTATCGTGTTTTTTTATCTCTCCTCCAAGTTTTTTTAGAGAGAGAAAAAAACTTGGAAGAATAATATTGCAATCGGGCGAACTTGACAAAAAATAAAAGAAGTTTGCGGATGCGTCCTTTCAAGTAATAACGCTATTTTCATGTCATACCTTCCAAGGAATAACGGCTAGTTTCAAGTAAATTTTCCAAGTAAAAAATAACGAAATAAAATCTTAATTTTTTAAAATAAAAAAAATATCATTGATAATTTCCCAAAATTTTTCCATCCATCCAACAACCCTAATACTCGCATCACCCGACTAAAAATGAAAAAATAATAAATAGTGTTCCTACCCTTTTCGTGCGAAGCGAAAAGGAAGTGTGGTGCATGAACTGACCGCTGCAAATATGAATTTTAAAAACCCATCGACATCCCCGATATTCCCGGACGGACATGTTGAGCACTAACCAGAAGGAATGTTCCCCCATTCATTCTCCTCCTCTATTTCTCGCTCTTCGCCTGTGTATAAATAGTTAACAACCATCAAGCTCAACTTAAATCTTCATAGCTCAAGAATTCATGGAGATGAAAGAAAAGCAAATATCAGTAGACTCCATATCACTCAAATCATCGGCACCGCCTGCATTTCAATGGGAGTCTAGACTGCCGAGCTTGAGCTTCTCTTCCGCTTCCTCCTCAGCGAGACAAGCACTTGAGTCGCCGAGAACAAGCCTGAGCCTTTGCCGGAGCAAGTCCTGCGGTTTGGGGAGAATGTCGAGACCCTCTGACGAGTTCATGCTCGGTGCTTCGAGTTGGAAGAAGAACGATCAGAGGAACCCCAACCCAAACCAAAACCAGATGGCCCTCGAATACGAACACAATCAGAGTAGAGGTGAAGGTAAAATTACCGAGAAAAAGGGAGGCATCTCCGGTGATGGAAGGGTGGGGTGCGGAGCAGGAATGTGCATGTTCCTGCCCGGCTTTTCCAAGGGGAGGCAAGTAAAGGAAAGAAACGCCGATGAGGAAGACGGGTATGTCATCTCTAGGATCGCGTCTCTTGAAAGGTTCGAGTGTGGATCCTGGGCCTCCTCCGCAATCCCAAGCGACGGGGAGCGGAGCCGGCAACTGTATTTCGACCTTCCATCAGAGTTGATAAGGGCCGGCATGAACGAGACACACTCCCCAGTCACCACTGCTTTCGTTTTCGGAAGTGGAAGGTTCGGGGGTGTGCTAAAGAAGAGCAACTCCCCAAGGAAGTCATCTTCGAACCGCCATGTTCAATTCTTTGCAGCATCAATGCCATCTTCTCCTTCATCATCCACCTGTGTCACCCCACGTCTTCGCAAAGCGGGGGAGTCATCGTCATCGTCGTCGCACCGCCATTTTCACTTCTTTGCAGCATCAACACCATCCTCTCCATCATCTACTTCTGTCACTCCCCGCCTTCGCAAAGCGAGGGAGGAGTTCAATGCATACCTAGCTGCTGCGCAGAATGCTTAGGGAGCTGCAGTGAGTTCTTCTCATGGTTGTCACCGGCTTTTTTTGCTGTGTTCATGCCTGAGCCTTGTTTCATCGAACCCACATCTGAGCTCTGTGATGTTGTTAAACTGGAAGCCACACTTAGCTATGTAACGTTGTTAAGCTGAATTTTTCCTATTGCCCAGCAATGGTATGATGATTTATGTAGATATCACTACCATATTCAGCAGGGAGTATGGTTATATTGGCAAACCAAAATATCGGTAATAAATTGCCTTTGGATCAAATAATTGGGCAAGAAATATGGATTATCGAAAATTAAATGAGTTAGAGAATTGTGGATTTATTTCGAATTTGACCAAATGAATGCATCGAAAAAACCAAATATGTAAAGATAAAATTATGACTTACTTAATTGAAGTCATTGAACATTATTTCTACGTTCTTGCTTGGTATCTTCTAGAAAGCTACTGTTTAATGTTTCATCTAAACTCTCACAAGGAAGCCACTGCATAACGATTATGGATGAAAATGAACATTATTTTTGCCCATAAGCTCGACACTGTCCAATTTTTTTTGGTCCTACCATAAACTTAGCATGCAGGTGGTAGGGCGAAACACTATTCAATGCTTCCTTTGCCATCACGACACAAAACATACAATGATTTATGGGTAGCAGACAATGAAATAGCAATGGTAACTAATACTACAATTACATCTCTCTCAAACTAGGTTGCTAAGAGAATTCACCTAGATTTTGAGCTTGTGATCGAAGGGGTTCATGTTCCATTGGTATGGCTTGACCGAAATTTACTTTTTCGGTTCGAGATTGAAGCTAGACCGTTGATCCCGTGCCATCAGATGGTAGTGACTCGGTGGGGGGGTGTAACAAGCCCGGTTGAGGTAATCTTTGACACTCTTCCTTTTGTTTCTTGCAACCTTATAATTTATTCTCAAGCATAGTGCATAGTTATTTCAATGGCATCAAGTTAATAAGATCTTGGTTTTATTGTTATATTGATTTTATTTTGAAATTTATCTTATTGTAATAAAGATCACCTGTAAGTGATCTTTTGCCCAAAAAAAAAAAGAAAAAAAAAAAAAATGTGTTCTTTGATAAAAGGTCACATAGGTATTCTTTCAGTTTTCAATGTTTATTGTTCTCAAATTAGTGGGCTCTTGAAAACTTAGTTTTAGGAGGAGTGGGTGAAAAGAGATAAGTTGAGGTTTGTGTCTTGACTTGAGACATTGAATTTCTATAGTAAAGTAAGAAGGGTCTTGAGAAGAGTTGACTGAACTGTTATCATTCAGAAAAGTATTACAACTCTTAAGGAATTTAAACCATTGTTGTACTCTTTGAGACTAGCCATGAATCATGTAAAAACCCAAGAAAAAAAATCACATAAAACAGCAAATTGTCCACAATACAATTGGTTCTTGAATGATTGATGGTTGGCCTTAACTTGAAACCCAAATTGGTAACAGATAGATAACCATTCACTTCATCCAATATCGATTCCACAACCTAAAAAGCGAAATCCCCTGGTATTTGCAGACAATGAAACAACACAGACATTAGGCAATCAGATATGTATGGAACCAGTCTTTTTATGGTGACATATGATTCAAGACTTTGAAATTGCAGTAAGAGAGAGAGAGGAGTTTCTGTTGCTGTCTTCTGTGTGGTGTGGGTTCCTCCAGCTTGCTCTTGCAGAGCAAATCAGCGTAAAGGAAGTGAAAATTGACAAGGGAGAGAGAAAAGAATTCCCATGTACATGAGGAAATAGGGGCAGTAGAGAGAGAAAGAGGAAGGGTTTCAGTAAGGGTTAGAGAGATGGGGCAAATTTGAAAAAGATAATTCAACCTAAAAAAACCTCCCCAAATCAGGGGGTTTGATCTTTCGCTTTTCTAAATCGGATGGTCCGCGAGTTCAATACGCATAAAATACATGCGATCATTTCCTATATATATATATATATATATTCACGGTAGGTTTTTACAATACGCAGGGAAAGTTTAAAGTCCATCACCTTTCTTAGACTGGATTCAATAGAACAGAGTGGAGACGCATGATTCATATAGCCGAATTTAATTAATTAAAAAAAAGCTGAAACGATGATGATGATTTTTCTTTCCTTTGTTTTTTTTTCTCATGACATTTATAAAAATTTTTGTTAATAACCCCTAGGTACTTTAAAAATATCACTTATATTTTTAATTTTTTTTATCATGTATCTCTTTTTCAATTTTTTTGCTTTCCAAAATACCCTAGTTCAGAACTCCAAAATATCCGAGTTTTTTCTTTCTTTTTTTCTTCAGTCTTTTGGGATCAAAACTCCAAGATAGGCCCTCAATTTTGTTAAAAACTCAAGTCAAATATAGAGTTCCGATTGAATTTTAAAGAACTTTTGATTTTATTTTATTTTCTAAGGATCAACTTGGATCTAACTCCTGACCTAATGCCGTACATATTTGCTTGTGTAAAAATCCACGTTGGAACATAAATCCCTTTTCTGCTTAACATTCAAAATACATTGGCTGAGGTGCTGAACAATCAAATTACGGTGCACCTCAAAAATTCATTAGAAGATGTTATTTTTTATGTCTAAAAGCTCTTAAATCGATCATCACCCTGAAAATTTATATTTTGTTGAAAAATTTATAATTCTAGATAAAATTAGTTTTTCAAACCATCACAAAGATTTTTGCATCCTTATTTGATTCGAAAGATGACTAAGCTCAGCCCTGAAAAATTATATATTGTTAAAATTTTGAAAGACGACTAAGCTCAGCCCTGAAAATATATATTTTGTTAAACTATGCTCAACCCTAAAAATTATATTTTGTTAAACTTTTGAAAGACGACTAAGCTCAGCCCTGAAAATTGAAAATTATTTTTTGTTAAAATTTTGAAAGATGAATAAGCTCAGCCCTGAAAATTTATATTTTGTTAAACTATGCTTAGCCCTAAAAAATTATATTTTGCTAAATAAATTATATTTTGTTAAACTAAGCTCAGCCTTGAAAAATTATATTTTGTACTAAACTCAGCCCTGAAAAATTAAAATTATATTTTGTAAAATTTTTGAAAGATGACTATGCTTAGCCCTGAAAAATTATATATTTTGTTAAACTAAGCTCAGCCCTGAAAAATTATATTTTGTTAAAATAAATTACAATTTTTTAAACTAAACTCAGCCCTGAAAAATTATATTTTGTTGAAATAAATTATATTTTGTTAAAATAAAAATTTATGTGCTTTGTTAAAATAAAAATTTATGTGCTTTGTTTGTTAAAATAAAACTTTATGCAATGAAAAATTGTATTTTTTTAAAATAAATTATACTTTGTTAAAATAAAAATTTAAATTTGTTGTGAAAATTTATATTTTGTTAAAATAAATTATATTTTGTTAAACTAAACTCTGAAAAAGTATATTTTGTTAAAATGGAAATTTAAATTTATGCGGTGAAAATTCATATTTTGTGAAAATAAATTATATTTTGTTAAACTAAACTCTGAAAAATTATATTTTGTTAAAATAAAAATTTATGCCCTGAAAAATTATATTTGTTAAAAATAAAAATTTATGCGCTAGAAGGAGGGCTTGAACCTCCGACCTTGTGGTTAACAGCCACACGCTCTAGCCAACTGAGCTATTCCAGCATCGTTGGTGTAAATTTGCTAATTATTTTATATTACTAAAATTAAGTGATGAAGCCTAAAGCTATGTCCCGCGTTTTGCGTTCCCGCGGACACCGCTGAGATTGACCAGAGGTCCTACCAACCATACCATAACTTTCCGGAATGCCAATAATACTCCTTCATCTGCAAATGATGATTGTACTCCAAATGAAAATATTAAAATAAGGCTAGGGTCTTATGGCAAAAAGTAGAGCCGCACACCGCTTCGGTCTCGAAAAATCCTCAAATTACTCGTCTTGACCTTAAACTTTTATAGATGTATGAAAAAACAAGGATTTCAATTAAAAAATAGTGTATTTTGTAACGTTTTCTAGTACCATCAAATTCCATAACAAAAGCGTTTGGCATATCAAAATTCTATTTTTTTCATGAGGTTGTGATGTGAGGCTTTACCTTCTTGTTCTTTTTTTTCTTTTGTTTTTTGTTTTTTTTTTTTGTTTTATTTATTTATTATTATTATTTTTTATAAAGATCCTAGGCCTTATAGAAACCAAGAAATCTTTACTATTGATTTATTTATAGAAAATTTATCAAATAACCATCAGCAGTTTAACACTTTACTCTTTGGTTTAATTTCAAAACACCCATTAAAAAAAATACAAGGTCTTGAGTTCGAATAATTCCAAATGCGTAAAATAACAACTTAATCTTTTAATGGTATTTAAGTAAGGAAAAGGTTTCTATACTTCCCCTACAGCATAGAAGATATATACTTCTCCAATCCAGCTGTCCAATTAAGATCAAGTGAGCCATTAAGCGTTTGATCTAGATCCAACACCTCGGAGTATTTTTTTTTAAAGAGTTTTTTATGAAATTTGTATGAATATGAAATTTGATACATGTCATCTTCTCAATGGGACACGCCTAAAAAAAAATATTAAAAATAATTTTTTGATAAAATAAAAAAATCAAAATACCCTTTGAAATTTTCAATAATATATTGGTCATTTTATTTTATTGGGAACATTGTTTTTATATATTTTTTACAAGTACGAGTTTAAGAGAAGAGTTGACACTCAAAATTTGGTGTCAAAATATTATGTAAAAAAATTAAAAAAAAATTAGTGTAGAAACGTGATATTGTGATTGGGGGCATTTCAGCCATCCATTTAAAATGGACGGTTGGATAGGAGGAAATATATGAGCCTTATGCAATAGAGGAAGCATAGAAAGCTTTCCCTTTAAATATTTTGTAGTTATCTTATTTATTTACTATACTGGTCAATAGTAGTTGCATTATCTAGTGGTTATCAACATCTTATCAATGGGTTGTTGATCGTGTACAAAAAGTAGTCCATGGTACAACTTCAATTATGAGATGCAAGCCCTACTTTCTCTTCATCATTATCTACCATAATTATCATTATCAGCTTATAGATCAATATTATTAGTTTGGATCCATTGACTAATCTATTATTGTGCCTCGCCTCTCTAAAATATTTCTCAAAGATGGATTTTGGATCTAAGTTTGTAGAGATAAATAATCTCAATTCCCAGAATAATGAATATAAAAAGAAAATAAAATATACCGACTCAAAAAAAGTAAAATAAAAAGGATTGTCTATAAAGATGTCATTTACCTTTAGTACAAAAAAGTTATAATTATTTTTGCCCTTTAGATATTAAAATGGGTGGTTGTAAAAGTGCTATTGATTAGACATAAAGTTTCAAAAAATTAATTCTGACTTCCTGTTTCACCCAAACCATCCAATTTCACATTTAATTCGACTCAACAAACACTTTGCCCTGTTCCCTATTATTTTATGTCTATGACACGCTTTATACGGTGCACCGCCATCGTTTTTCAGTAATTTGTCTAGCTTGTGAGGTGTCATAGTGGGTAGATGGTGTCGGAGGTCGGCGTGCTTCTATGGATGTTTTGTAGCTCAATGAGGGCTTAGCAGTTGGACGGATGGAATCCTTTGAGGTTAAATACGGTTGACCATCTGTTTTTGTAGGAATACACTTTGTATTTTTCTTACTTCTTCTTCTTGTATTATTTTACTTAATGAAGTTATTGTTTGTGATTAAAGAAAAATAACACCCTTTATACGGATGGTTATCTTGTATTTCTCTTATTATTATTTTTTTGACTGAAGTTATAAAATTTTATTGCTGAAACATTACAAGAGATTTACATCGTTCAAAATAAGTAACAGCTCTCTTGGCTAATGCATCTGTTACACTATTAGCTTCCCTATAAACATGGTGGAATGAAACAGTCAACGCATCAAGCACCTGGCACCAAACAGAGCGAAGCGCCCAAAGGGCTCATTGCTCCTTACTAAACCATTTAATTACATTCAACAAGCCTGCTTCCACCGTATAGATAGACCTCAAAATTTGTGATCTAAAAAATGAAAGACTTTGGAGAAGGGCAGTAAATTCAACATGGTTGGCTATAGCCAAACCAATTGGGCCTACAAGTGGGGCTCCAAAAATTTTATCACCCTAGATTAGTAGAGCGGATAAGCCAGATCAAATCAAAAATTAATTTGTGACTCTTGGATAGGCCACAGACGCTGAAGGGTTTGTTCGCCCCCAGTCGTCCACGTACTCGACAAGAATGAAATTATACACAGAAGGGGGACTGGCTAGGGGGCTGATGCCTCCACATAACAAGCTAATTTATCATATTTAAAATAAATAAATAAATAAAGAAAACCGATACATAGAAGATTTGCATGATCATTAGAACAATTATGACACACTTTTCATGAAATGGTCCAAATGTTACGATGGCCGCCGTTGTTGTTCTTCTGTAACTTTGCCAAAACAATAGGTGCAAATAGCAATCCCGAAAAGAAACCGAGCATCAACCATCAAAAATAAAATCCCGAAAAACAATTGGTTGACATCTGACCATTGATGTAAAGCAGATTTACTTTGCAAGAAAGAACTCTCTGAGAAAGTTCTTCCCACTGGGCTACCAGTTCCCTATGAAACACGGGACTCAAGTAACACTGGCCTAAGGGACACATGTTCACAAGCAACGTTGGCCTAAGGGATCCATGCAAAGCACATTAATTTCACAAGAAAGAGAATGTTCTTCCCACTGGGCTGAATAGTTCCCTATGACGCATGGGGGAATGCGATGGGCGTTGTAGCGGTCGGGAAAAAGTGTTCCCAGCCTTTCCTAGTTCGCAATATACTTACATGATAAAGTCCCTTCGTATGCATTTAGGTGTGAAAGCCTTTTTTCAGGTGACAAAAAGCTCACTATTGGGGAGGAACTCTCAAAGAGCTTTCTGACTAAACAAACATGCCCGTGGTGAAATGTCTGTCTTCAATACAACTCCCCACCATTCTCCAATCTCCATTCTCAATTACCTACGGTCGAATATTAGTATCATCAATACCGTAGCAAACTAGCTAATTCAACTGGTCACGCATTTGAATATTGCTTTGTTTGGTCTAGACTTGAACAAAAAACATGATTTTGGTGGAAAAGTGGCCAAAACCAAGGTTTGACATATCTTGACCAGTCTCACGAGTCATTTTTAGCATGTTGTAACAACAAAATCAAGTTGGACAACCTTTTTTATGCATTTTATATTTTAAATTTTTATTTATATTTTTATTTTAAAAAATCCTTATATTTTTTAAAACTCTAGTCAAACTAATTCAACCTAGGCTACTACACCCATATCTCACACAGTTTACTCCATTCCAGGAGAACACACATTTGGGTCAGATTCCCCCTCATTTTTTTATTCATGTATTAGTTATGATAGCTGAACTATGCAAGCCTGCTTTTTTATGAGCATGGGCACAAAAAAATTTCTTGATGTTTATTATGATTTCTGTCCATAAACTGCAAATCAAGGAAAAATCTACCACTCCAAACACAAATGCCAAATAAATATATAAAAATTCAAAAAGGCACCTTTTTGAACTTTCGGTCCCATTAAGTTTAGCTTGCATCTATGGCTTCGCCAAATTTTTTGATCTATAGCTCTTTTTTTTTTACCTTAACTCATTTCTTGCACTAAAGCACCCAATCTGTGGGCTGCCTTACTCTCAACTTTTGTATGTACTTTTCTGGCAATCAATACGAATGTTAAACATTTTCAAAAAAAAATGATGGGCTTTCTTCCACCCTTTATATTTCCATATGCTCTTTATATAAACATAAGAGTGATCAAGAAAAACCAATGCATATTAAGGAAAAGCTAAGTGCAGGATGCAAGTCAGAGTTAGGGTAGTCCCACTCAAATCCAAGGGTGTGTACATCAAAGTTGACAAACTTCGGCATGATAAGTGGGGTCAATACTCCTAAAAAATGCAGTACATGCAGATAACTAGAACTGTAACCTGACTAGAATGGCCAAGTTCATAGGACCATTCAAAACTCATTACTTGCACACTACAAGGCATAGATAAAAAGTAAACATGCAGAGGTTGAAACCACCAAAATCTACCAACCATGGGTTGGCAATAACACTCGAGTACAATTTTGTTTCCTAATAACAAGGACGTGTATCATTTTGATAGAATTCGAGTGGGCTACCTGTAGCATCGAGTTCCATGTAAAGAATCTATTCATTTTTCCAAGTTTTAACCTCAAACAAAGTTAGAAAGAACATAGCCAAAGTTATAACCTCAAACAATGTTAGAAAGAACATGATTCACCACTGATTCATGTGGCTTCCACATAATAATGTGATATGATGCTGAAACCCCAATCAGAAACAGCCGCCCAACTACATAGAAACAGAAAAAAAGAAAGAAAGAAGGTATGGTTCAATCAGAAATGTGTGCCAATATGTTGGTATGAGAATGGAGTAAATTGAAACGATGTGCAAAAGTGCGAACAAGGAAAAGTAAGTGCCGCAAGCATGTAAAACTCTGATATAAATATCAATATTTGTGTACCATACTAGAGTTTATGGCAGCAAATTATTTAAAGGGAAAGTATACAATTACACCATTTACCTTTTGTTCATAGTGGCCACAATTAATCTTGACTGTTGGATGTGAAATTAAGTGGCTATATTTATTCCATTGACCAAGCTCAATATTCAAAAGAATTTCTCTTGAACTTTGTGATACACCCAAGCTATTAGATTTCACATTGGATTGTTACAAGTAATTGTCACCTCCTTGTACCAAAGGTAAATAGTCTCATTGTATACAATCCCTTATTTAAAATCTTAGACGCAATTTCCCAGAACTGACAATGAGAAAGCAAAAAGGAACAGAAAGAGGAAAGAAAACAAACAGGAAGGAGTTCCATCACTGAACATAATCTTCTTTGATTTTTTAATTGAACCATAGACACTTCAGAAAATAAATTATTAGTACCATCGGTTCCCTTCCTACAACTAAAACATCCAACTGAGAAGTCAAACAGGTGAAAATTGTAGAACTCACCATTATAGCCTCTATCTCCTTTTCAGAAAGCGAAGTGCGCTTGGGCTGGAGAGAAGCTTTTCCTCCGACAGATGTATTGCTTGGTGGAAGAGAAACATTAAACTGAGATGAGAGCTTTGCATCTTGTGCCATTTCATGAGGAGGAACATCTGTTTTTTGGGAGGATCCACTCCCTAAAGGAAAATCGTTAAGATCATTTAATGTAAGACTCGAAGCCTTTAGTAGAAACTAATTTAGAAATAGAGAAGCTATACCCACCAACTATGAAAACTAATATCAATAATATATGATGTCTCAAGAAATTTTAAGGAACTAATGAGTGATAGGAATGCGGTGGTGCAGGTAAAAGGTAAGGAAAACCAAAATGCCAATCTAACCAAAATGAATCCCACAAGTCTCCCTCCCTTCCCTCCTGTGCAGACACAAATCTAAAAACCCAAAGAACACAAACAAAGCAAATTATATGCATTACGAATGAAGTTCACCCGCATAATACCCTCTACAGAAGATGTAAATGGAAGAACAATGTTCCATCTACCACATCAATAATTTCTGTAATTAACAACCCATAATGCCAGTTGCATCTGGGTTAATTAGAAGGAAAAAAATATTCTTAGTTATAAGTTAATTACAGCAAGAGTTGAACCGCTACCGAGAATGCGAACGAGGAAAGCTCTAGGATTGGAAGCGGGAACATGGGAGTGAGGGAGGCTAAAAGATCCGTAGTTGAGGGAAGGAGTTCTGTACATCGTGAGGTTAAGGGATCAAGTTCCCTAATATTAAGGGAGTGCATTCCATGACTGCCCAAGAGCGAATGCTAAATTCAATGGGATTGCAGTCCTTTGAGCTTAGGATCGAGGCTCCCAAAGATCATTTATCCATGGTATTCTAGTTCGGGAGTTAATTAAACAATTATTTAAGCAAGGTTCGCTTGAAAAAATCACTTACATGGGTCCATTACAAAAATTGCACACCAGTCCTTTGAGCTTAGGATCGAGGCTCCCAAAGATCATTTATCCATGGTATTCTAGTTCGGGAGTCAATCAAACAATTATTTAAGCAAGGTTCACTTGAAAAAATCACTTACATGGGTCCATTACAAAAATTGCACACCTACCTCTATTGGTCTGCCCACATATGTACACCACCTCATTTTTTGCACCAATCAGTTGGATTGGACGCTTCCCCCTGAACTATCAATTGATGATTATTTTTAAGAATGCTAAGATAGATTGTTTTTAAAAAAGAAATGCTGCAATAGATAAGCTTTCCTCTGGGAGGGGAAAAAAGAGGAAGGACATTGCTATATATAATTCTCAATAGCTCTCCTCCGTCAAAGTTCGCTAGGGCCTCAAGGACATATAGACGAATGAGTAGCTCAATGTGGGTGACCAACACTCAAAGTGATAGAAGTCCTTCAAGAGGTAGATAGGACACAATGCACTAGCCCCAAAGAAGTTAAGCCTATCAACCACGAACTCATTCCTCGATTAAAACTGCAACTCAAGTTACTCAACTATCTTTTATCTCCTCCCATCTTCATTTTCTCTCCCTAACCTATCTTGTCGCTTTTTTTGAAACTAGTCACAAGTCACGATTCACAAGGCACGTAAAGTTGCAAACTACAAAATATACAGGAAATCAGGGCCTTTAAAAAGCTTGTAGATCATAAAAAATTGGGGATCCACACTCCACTGTGTATGAACCTGAAAATGTGCTAGCGAAATTCGCTCCCATAATAAAATATACTAGAATCCAAGTCAGTGGAATCGTAGTTCTAGTTACTCATGGAACCATGATTTTGGGCATACGGATCTGGATCCCATTAACCTGGGATCTAGTTTCTTGATTTCATGGATTGAGATCCCTAAATAATGGAAATGCCTAGAATCGAGATCTCGTGTCTCGGAGCCTCGGATCTAACTTCTGGAGCAAGAGCAATGCCCTCCTTAGAAGATCCCAGTAACTATGAATTGAACGCAACCTCAGTCATCCACTTAACCAAAATATAAATCCCAAGCGGTAAGCTGAACTATGAAGATATGCAAGATGTAGCAAGTAACTTTTGGCCATTTTGGGAAGGAATCCCAGGCCATATGCTTATATAAGCATCTCTCAACACCCTCAAAATATAAAAGGTTCGATTCTTTTATTTCAGATACAATTTCCCCCAATATGGCTGGAAATTAATTGGATATATATATATATATATATATATATATATATATATATATATATAATAATAATACGAAGAAGAAGAAGTAAGTACGTACGTACGTACGACGGACGGTAACGTAAAGTTAGTTTAGGTTAGGTAACGTAA